GTAAATGTACCTGTGTCATGGAATGCCAGCAGAGGTCAGAGGAGGGCATCAGATCCCCTGGAACTGGAGTTACAGATAGTTGTTGGCCAGCATGTGAGTGCTGAGAACCATACCATGTCCTCTGTAAGAGCAGTCAGTACTCTTAACCACTGAGCCATCCCTCTAGCACCAAGGATTTTCTTTTTTTGAACATTTATTTGTACTGTATATATACGAGCATGTGTGAAGGTCGGAGGATAACTTGAGGGAGTTGATTCTCTCTACCAGGCTTGGTGGCAAGTGCTTTTTACCCACTGAGCCATCTTCCCAGCCCCTGGGGAAATTTTTTTTTTTTTTAAGAAAGGGTCTCATTGTGTAACACCCTGGCTGGCCTGGAATGGCCTATGTAAACCAAGCTGGCCTCAGACTCCCAGAGATCTGCCAGCCTCTGCTATCCAAGTGTAGGATTAAAGGTACACCATCACACAAGGCTTCTGTGGGGCCTTTTAAAACTTCAGTTTCTACAGCTAAAAAGGTAGATGAAAATACCTTTCCTGCAAAGCTGGGGCATGATTGCACACACCCTGTAGTCCCAGCACTTGGGAGGGAGAGACAGGCTGATCTCTGTGAGTTCAAGTCCAGCCTGGTCTACATAGTGAGTTCCAGGCCAGCTGGGGCTGTCTCAAAAGGGATCAAAAAAAGAACACCAAAAACAAACAAACACAGCTGGGGAGATAGCTCAGACAGTAAAGTGCTTGCCATCCAAGCTTGAGTTTACTCTTCAAAAAGTCACCTTGTAATCCCAGCGCTGGGAAGGTAGATCCCTAGGGCTCAGTGGCCAACCAGCCTATCCAAACTGACCCTGTCGCAATAAACAAGATGGGGTTCAGTGGATAAGGGCACTTGCTACCAAGCCCGATGACCTGAGTTTGATTCCCTGAACCCACACGGTAGGAGAATGGATTCCTCAAAAGTTGTCCTTTGACATCTTTATGTACTCTACAGCATGCACACACACTAAATAGATGTAGTAAAAATAGTTAAGACCACAAAAAAGAGGACAACATGAAAATGACTCCAACATGCACACACATACAAATGCACACACATGCATATATAGACAAACCCACTAAAGTACTTAGGCATGTTCTTATGTTAACATCAAGTCTCCTGAAAACTATGAGAATATTTCTACTTTCAGGGGGAAATGATGGGCTTTTGTGGCATGAGATAGCTGTTCCTTCTCTCAGGCTCTTCCCACTAACCTATGCTGCCAACAGAAGGCAGACACACTGAGCTCCAGTACTGAGGGCTTGTAGGTCCAACAGCCCTAACTCCTGACTGGGTCAAAGGCCAGAGAGACTGCCAGGTTGAAGTAGGCTGATGTTCCCTGAGTCACTGAGTTTGTCTCCTTTTATTAAAGATAGGGTCTCACTCTGTAGCTCTAGCTGATCTGGAGCTTACTATGTAGACCAGGCTGGCCTCAGATGCACAAAGATCTGCCTGCCTCAGCCTCCCAAGTACTGGCATTAGAGGACAGTGTTAGGCAGAGGACTGAAGGCAGCAGGCTTGAGCTCTACTTCTAGGTTCCAGAACTGAAGCGGGGAGAGGGTTACAACCTTGTGGCATGAGCTGTCTGTTGTCTCCCTGTGACATTCTAGAATGCCCATGTGGGGGGTGGAAGGGGCACGGGTCTGGGAGTCAGGAGATACGATTGGTACATATGATAGCAGTGGCCTTTGTGACATTAGAGCAAAATACTTGTCTGTGTTGCTTTGACTTCATCTGGGAGATGTGGCGGAGGAGTGGAGCACCCAATGCTCACTCAGATTTGGGTTTTCCAGGGTCTCTCAGAAAAGATTAAGGGCTTTGGTCCAAGGGCACAAAGTAGAGATCAGACCTCATACACTGACCTCCCTCCAAACTCCCACAGAGGATCTGTCAGCAATTTCAACCAGAGGCCAGAGGGCAAGGGAGCCTATGCATGCTGTCTGTCCACACTGAGGCAGGAGGCTGGGCTGGGTGATAGTTAAAGGTAATGTGTCAGAAACATCCCCCTCCAGTTACTCCCTTTCTCTCCTCACAAGGGTGGCCCCTCAACTCTTAGAGCAACTCTTCTGAGAACATGTCAAGGGGCAGAGGTGGCCCACTGTGTGGAGGCAGGGGGACTGGAGCTCTAGGGAGTTTTGCTACTTCCTTCTAATGCTTTTGCAGTGGCCTGTCTTGGCCCATTTCTTTACCACTTTCCCTTCAGGACTCCGATCTGGCACTACTCTGGGGGGTTTAAGCCTTGTTTCTCAGGGATTATTTATAAACTAACAGAGGACTCCCAGGACAGGCAGGCAGAATATAAGTCCTGGTCCCTCTACACACCTCTGACCTCATGTGGGCTGAGGGCTTATCCTGCATTGATTACCCAGTATGAGTAAGGAAACCCACAGTGCCCACAAACTCACTCTCCTGTGAAGGCTCCAAGAATCACATTCCTAAAAGTTGCTGGCCAAGCTACAGACCCTCAAAAAGATGTAGAAGCAATGACAGATGACCGGCCTGGGCACAGAGGCAACAGGACCCACCGTCCTTCCTCCCTGGCATCTTTAGCATTGGTCTCACATAAAGTGGGGATGTGTACTCATGTCATCAGAGACCAGGATGACACATAGGAGTTACTTTCTCTTAAGAACCCTACAGGGCAGTCTTGACCAAGCTGCTTCTGACCCCAGCCTTACCATGCCCTGGCCAGGCAGCTCTGTAACTATGGCAGGCTCAGCTCATCAACTCAAGCTCACTGTCCACTGAGGCCTTTCTGCAGAGGCTCTGCTCTCTCAGCAAAGCCCCAGCTGGAAGGGCTACACAGTCACCCTTCTATCAGCTGCCCTTCTCAGACCCAGGCCTGGGCCCTGCTCGGTAAAGTGTGAAGCGTGAAGGAGGCCCCCGGGGAAGCCACAGGCACAGACCCTGTTAAATTATGGAGTAGCTTCCTGTGCCCCTTTCAGAAATGCCTAGGCATGCCCCAGCTAAATAATTTAGCACCTCAGGAAGACCCAGTGGGTCCTAACACAGCTGAAGTAGGTCAGGCCATGGTTTGGCTCTGGGAAGGGACTGTCAGGCTCACAGCCATGTCAGGAGGAACTGCAGGCTGCTTTGCACAACCACACCCCAGTGAGGGATACAAGGCAGGAAAGTCCCATCCTCCTCCCCCTTGCTGGAATAAGCTCAGGTACCTCCCATCCTCAAAGTCTTCCTTGGTGACCAAGTAAGCTACCCACCTGCCACTAGAGTTACTCTAAGGTCTGTGCTTGCCTGGGCTCCTCCTCCTCCACTTAGCACCTAGCTGACAGCTGACACAGTTGCCAGCAAGTAACACCCTAGACCCAAGCCATATACAAGGGGTGAGGCAGGGAGTAGACATGGATGCCAGAGTCACCCAAGGTGCAGGTGAGGAAGCAACTACTAGAGCCAGCTACAACTACCCACTTTGCTCAGAGCAAGGCTGGAAGGAACCAGTGGGTAGCAAGTTCTGCACACTGACCCTGCTCTGCTGGGTTAGGGTGGGTGCAGATGAAAAAGCAAACACTGAAACAGGTCACAGTTCCAGCCCTCCAGTAGGAGCTAGAAAGGATGTCAAACCAGATCAAAGATAAAGAAACTGAGAGACACCAAATCACAAAAGAATCAGGGTGGCCGCAGGCATCCTGTCCACCCTGCCCACACTAGCTCAGCACAGTCCCATCTAGAGGACTTTTCCTCTCTCTCTCCCAGGACTCAGCTCCAGTCCACAGCCTACAGCATGGGCAAGGTCCTGGAGCCTCTCTGTCCCTCCAGGCCAGCCTCAGATGCATACTATGACCTGACTCTAGAGAGGGAAGCCAGCACTCCAACCTCAGTCTCCTACAGAGCTTATGAAGAACACAGACCAGGGAGAAGGTAAATAGATGAGGCAAACTGAAAAACAAAGGCCTCTGATGGTGTAGGGAGTAAGGAACCCCACTTTTAGAATTCCATGGCCAAGGAAGTAAATTCATTAAGTACAGGGTAGATTAACAGAAGATAGGAGGGTGTGAAAGGGGGTAGGTAGGAGGGTAGCACCTGTATGACCCCTCTGCAAGCCACTGCCCCCTCCAAGACTGGTTCCTAAGCTAACCGCAGAAGGCAGCAGATAACTGGAGCTCCAAGGTATCCCCACTGGGACAGTCACCAGGCCAGGACCATTCCCTGCTTCCCTCTGGTCAGCCTTCTGCATGGCAGGCTGCATCCTACGGAAGCTGGAAGCAAAGGTCACAGTGCAGTCACTTTAGAGTTTTTTATTTTGCAATTCATTTATGATCCAGTTTCACATTCTCACAGGGTCAGCCACCCGACGTCACCCCCATCTGAAACAGCCAGACTGTTTGAGCTGAGGCTAAAGGTAAAGCACTAACATGCTCACAAAATAAAACAAAATTGCACAATTTATCCTTCATTTCATTCTTAAACCAATGCCCAACACAAAGACTGATTGCTGAAGAACGGAAACCCTTTTCTTCTTCATGCCTCAAACTCAACACTAAACTTATCTGACAGAGTGAACAAGGTCTCTTCAATAATTAATGGTAAACACATGAAAAATCCTTTATGATCCATAAATATTTTGTTATACAGGGTACAAAAATAGTTTTCATGTTTTGGTTTTGAGGTTCAGGAAGAACAAGGAGCAGTGGAAGAGTGGGGTGCACCAGGGGTAGGCAAGCAAAAGGCAGGTTTCTTAGACCTGCCAGTCCCCTGAGGAGACGGCAGAGAACTCTGATCTGAAGTGAAAGGCAGTGTATCTGCTGGGAGGATGTAGTCTGGAAGAGTGTATGTTGGAGGCAGGGCCTGTAGACTACAAGTGGCCACAAGGGCCCAGGCATCCCTGAAGTAGGGTCAGTGTAGGGGTAGGGAGTGGAGAGAGGGACCAGGCATGATAAGCCCTGAGTGCCAGGACCTGCTGTTATGGCCAGTGTGGGGACAAAACATACACACACATATACACAAATTTAAGTGTCACAATTGCTGGAGTAAAAATGCAAAATAAATGCCTCATTTCCTTGAGGGAGAGTTAGAGAAGCAAGTTTGGGTAGGAGGTCAGGCCATGCTGGGTCCCAGTGAGGCCTCTAAGCAGCTTGGCTTGGGTATCCCAGTAAGAAGGCCCCTGACCCTCTAGGGAGGCCTTAGAACAGGACTGAAGAAGGAAACAGGTGCAGTCCATTGAGTCAGGCTTCAGATTCACAGTGTCTGGAGAGAAGCAGCAGCTCTGCACAGGCCGAGGGGGCAGTGGAAGGGCAGGGCCTTTATTTGGTCCCAACCACACAAGTCCCAGAACCAACTCTGCAGTGACAAGACCTGGAGGGAGAGGAGAGAGGTAGCCATGAGTAAAGGAGTGAGATGGGGCGTTGGCTATAGACTCCTCTTTCGAGGGGAGGCTGCACAAGGGGACACAAGGTTACATGTGCAGGGGGAGAAGGGAAGAACCGGCTGGGTGCCCCAATGAACCTGCTCCAGAGCCACCTAGCACCAGCAAGCTCTCAGGACCAGGCAGAGGGAGGAGCCATGACCATGGAGGCAGCCAGTGTCAAGGACACTGACCTCTGGGGCTAACACTTACAGTGGAGCTAGCAGAACTGGCGATACTTCCATCCCTGCTGAGTGGTATCAGAGGAGGGGTACCAGCGAACCTACAAGAGAAGCCAATATTAGGATAAACTAAGTGACACATCCCTGCCCTCAGTGAAAACTAGATGAATTTAACCATCAGAGTCCCTGTAGCTGTCCAGGTTGTCACTGATCACTAGGTAGAGCCTGGGCCAGTAACTCACCTCTTAGCATCTGCTTCTTCCTCTGGAAAATGGAAAAACATCACCTGACCCACCTCCTAAGTTCCATGAGGACATGTCAACACATGGACCTCACTTATTATTTTATGCTATGAACATACTGCCCGCATGTATGCAAGCATACCTGTGTCATGCAGTGCCTTCAGAAGTCAGAAGAGGGCGCAGGATCCCCTGGAATTTATGGACAGTTGTCAGCTGCCATTATGGGTGCTGGGAACTGAACTCAGGTCCTCTCCAAGAGCCCCTGGATGCCATATGCCATTTCATTTTTCCTTTTTTTTTTTTTTTTTTACACTTGTTTTGCGTATGCGTCTATGTGCATGTAGGCACACAAGTGCCACTGAACACATGTAGAGGTCAAAGGACAACTTGTAGGAGTTGGTTCTCTTCATCCGCTGTATAGGTTCCAGGGATTGAACTCGGGCTCACCAGCCCCCATTATGTGATTTTAAAATAAAAAAATTAATAACCACATAATTAGAAGAAGCATTTCATTACAGCATTGACATATTCAATAACCATTTCCAGAGCTAAGATGCATCTCTTTCAAAATTAGCTGTAAACTTTTAGGTTTACAGTTGAATTAATACAGTTATACAATATTGTACTCAGTATAAACCCTATAAGACATAAAATTAAATGAGGTTTTAACCTTTAAAAAAGATCTCCATTTCATTATTAAAAAATACTGTTTCCTACAGAAAGACTCATTTTTAATGCTACTAACATTCAAATGTTTGCACATGTGTCTCTAATCTCTATATATCTGATTATTACTAGTCACAGTCAGTTACACTTGGTTCCTTGGCACCTGAATATGGATATGAAGTCATAACAGCTTCATTTTTTAATTTCAAACATTTTTTTTTATAATCTCACTAACAGTGCACATGGTTTTCTTCTTTCCCCACATCCTCTCCAACGCTGGCTGTCTGATAGCACCTAGTCTAACAAGTGTGAGAAATATGTCAATATGCTGGCCTGGCCTGAACTCACTATGATCAGGTTGGCCTCAAACTCACAGAGATCCACCTGCCTCTGCCTCCTGAGTGCTGGGATTAAAGGCATGTGCCACCACACACACACACACACACACACACACAGGTTAGAGAACAACTTGTAGGAGTCAGTTCTCTCCTTCTACTTGGGTTCCAAGGATTGAACTCAGGCTACGGCATCAAGAGGCTTTATTGGTCTGGTGTTTTCAGACAGGGTCTCATGTATCCCAGGGTGGTCTTGAACTTACTATATAGTCAAGAATGACTTTGAACATATGATCCTCTTGCCTTCGCCTCTTGAGCTCTGGGATTATGTGCACCACTATGCCCCACAGAGCAGTAGCCCCAAAAGCTGGATTCCTAGAGCCTGGTCAGGAAAATGGCATGCATCCTGCACCCTTCTCTTCCATGAGCCAGGTATCTGGCAAGAACAATTGAGCTTGCTGCCAGGCCAAGGCTGTAGGGAAGTCACCCACCCCAGTTACATTCTCTAGAGAAGCATGTCAGCCCATCTCACCCAAGGCTGCCTGGGGGTGGGGGTGGGGGGATAGGGACGAGCACTCAGGAGAAAGGCTGGGGTGGCACATGAAGCCACTGTAGAGAATGAGTTAGATGCTGAATAGATGACAGACCCAGTTGCCCACTTGGCTGCTTGTGATTCCTGCCTCTTGGGTAAGCAGAGAGAATATGACAAATGCCAGGCCCTCTGGGCTGAAGAGAGTGTTCCAAGAACTAGCTCCTGTGCTCCTCCCCAAGTCTAGGTGCTGCTTTGTACAGTGCACACCTCCAGCCAACACATCCTCCTAGGATGGTGGCAGGAAGTTAGGGAGACTAACTACCCTAACAGTTGCATGCCTGGCACATAGCAGAACAGGTCCTAGGCCACCAAACCAGCACTGTGGTCCCTCTGAATGTGGCACTGACATCACCAGAATATTTCTGGCCCAGGACCTGTAGGAGCTACCCCACCCTAGAGGCCACAGTATTTCCTAACCTGCCTCCTGAACACCTAGAAGCAGCTCTTCCTTCTCCTGGTTGACAGCTGTATGAGAGGAAGTTTAACAGGCACTTTGCTGGGTTGGGAATGCCCTCCCAGTTGGATGCCTGGCTAGACACTAGAACTCATCCCACAAGTAAGGGATAAAAGAAGGAGCAGTACTGCCACCAGACAGGCCTGTGGCTCTGTCCAGCTCAGAGAACCTCATCATGGGCCCTGCCAACAGCCCTTCACTCAGCTGAAGCAGCCCCTCCACAAGCAGCACCTGACTGGCTGGATGCCCAAGGGATCAGACAAAAGTGAAACATCAAGATCTCAGGAAGCCTCTGTTCTGGTTTGTTTCTTCATTGCTGTGACAAAATACTCTGACCACTACCAACTTGGGGAGGAAAGGGTTTATTTATCTTGCATCTCCCGGGTCACAGTTCATCAGGGAGCCTAAGGTAGGAACTCAGGGCAAGAATCTGGAGCACAGGCCATGGAAGAACACTGCTTACTGGCTTGCTCCCCTGGCCCCTGCTCAGCCTGCTTTCTTATGCAACACAGGCCCACCTGCCCAGGGGTGGCACCACCCACAGTGGGCTGGGCCCTCCCACATCACTCATCAAGCATGTGCCCCATGGACATGGCTACAGGCCAGTCCAATGAAGGCAATTCCCCAATTGAGGCTCCCTCAACCCAGGTGTGTCAAGTTGACACTAAAGCTGTCCAGCACAGCCTCCCACTCATCATCTTCCACATTAGGGAGCTAAGGCCTCAGGTGACTGCTTGAAAGTCTCCCCCCGCATCTGCTAGATCCTACCCCCCACATTCACTCACTCCTCTGATGCTGCTGTGATTACAGTGCTTCCTCAGCTGGAGTCAGATGTCACTTGGGGAAAGTAAGAGGATGGTGGCCATTTATGGGCCCAGGACAGCCAGGCTACTGATGCAAAAGGAATGCACTTGAATGGAATGCATGTAGCAGGGTTGCTATGGCATGTCCTAAAGATGCTTGGTGGCCTGGGGTCCTCTAAAAGTAGTACAGTCCCTTCCTCTCTTCCTGCCCAGCACAGGGTAGGAGAACCTAAAACCCAAGGCCAGCATGTGAGGGACCCTGCAGTCAGCATCCTCTCAAACCCTTCGGTTGTTCATGGCATGGTGGGGGGATTTCTGAGAGGTGTCACAGGCTAGAGAAAGCTGCTTTAGACCAAGGAAACAAGGACACAGCCTCAGCCCTCTCTCAGAACTTAGGACTGAGTAAAAAGACACCAAAAAGTAGGCGAAGGAATGAATCTACACAAGAAATAGGAACAGCCAATGAATATTGGGAGTCTCACTTGCCAGAAAGTCAATTAAAAATAATATTTCAGCCAGGCATGGTAGCTCACACCTTTAATCCCAGCACTTGGGAGGCAGAGGCAAGCGGATCTTTTTGAGTTCGAGGCCAGCCTGGTCTACATAGTGAGTCCCAGGACACCTGGAGCTACAAGGAGATCCTATCTCAAAAAGATAAATAAATAATAAGTAAATAAATAATACTTCATCCCAGGGGCCAATAAGATGGCTCAGCGGGTAAAATCACTCATCACACAAGCCAGGTGACTTGAGTTTGACCCCTGGAACACATATAAAAGTGGAAGGAGGGAATCAACTTTAAGGTTACCCTTTCACCTCCACACAGGTACCATGGCACACATACATGGGCCCATGTAAATATCACACAAATCGAAATAAAAATTAGCAAAAACAAACTTCACCCAGATTGTCAAGTCTGAACTGTGACTGTGGAATAGCCCTGGGAACTTTGGAATAGGGCTAGGAAAGTCCATCAGGACAGGTTCCCAAGATGTGTGATACCCTAGCAGATCCTGTCAGCAGCAAGCAACTCAACAACTGCCTTGCCAGCTGCTAGGAGCTGCATATTTATACAATGCTATGCCAGCTGGGCACCAGGCACAAATCTACAGTTATTGACATGAAAATTGTCTCAAAAAGCCAAAGGAAAGAAACAACATTATGCATTAAAATTTTGGTGGCGTACGCCTTTAATCCCAGCACTCAGGAGGCAAAAGTGGGTGTATCTTTGTGCATTAAAGGCCAGCCTGGTCTACATAGCAAATTCCAGGCCACCTGGGGCTACAGAGAGACCCTGTCTCAAAAAAGACCAAGAAAAAAATTTTTATGAAAGACTTACATCTATAGATTTACTTATATTACCCAAATTTCTAATAAAGAATTTATTTTCATGTGTGCATATGTGCAATGGGAGCAGCACATGTATCACAGTGCATGTGTGAAGGCCAGTTTAACTTTGTAGGGTCAGTTTTGTGGGCTCAAGGAATTAAATTCAGTCACTTTGCTTGTGTGATAAGTGTCCTTACCTCTTGAGTCATCTCGCTAGCCCCCAAATCTAAGAATTGTTTTTCCTTTTTATTTTTTTAACTTATTTTTTATTGAAATTTTGTGTATTTCATACATAAAATCATCTTTATACCCCTTTCCCCCTTGGCACTCTCCCATAGCATCCCCACTGCAGTTCATACATTCTGTCATTTGTATTAAGATCTATTATGAGCCAGGCATGATGGCACATGCCTTTAATCCCAGCACTCGGGAGACAGAGGCAGGCGGATCTCTGTGAGTTCAAGGCCAGCCTAGTCTACATAGTGAGTTCCAGGACAACTGGGGCTACAGGGAGATCCTGTCTCAAAAAGACAAAAAAAAAAAAGATTATGTAAAGTTAGTGTCCCGAGATGTCCCTCAGTGCAAGTTCATCCACCAGGGTTTAATGCTAGAGTTCCTCCTTTTAAGAAGATCAGCTCTTCCTCACCCAGCAGTTATCAGCTGCCAATAATTCTTCCACT